CAGCAGCAGCAGCAGCAGCAGCAACGCATGCCAAAATGAGCGCCGCCGATGGAGGGCTCGAATGGGCAGTCGCTCCACGCCCATCAGCTCGATCCGCCCAGCCGTCCGCCAATCCGCCAACCGCTGCTCCATCCGAGCGAGCTTCAACTGCTTCGTCCGACGCCGCTAGTGCTGACGTCCGGAACACTACAGCCGTTTGGGCTCCTCCTCCTTCTCCTTCACAGCTCCTCCTCCTCCACCACCTCCACCACACCGCCAATCCATCCCGCGCCCATCCCGGATCACCTCACTGCTGGATCCATTACTAGCCCGGACCACGCCGAGCCTGGAAGACAATCCCACACCACCCTCTCATGCCCGGATCCATGCTTCTCGCCTTGTGATCCCTCGGTCCAGCCTCTGTCGCTCCCAGCACCTCGCAGCTCGCGCACGAATGGCTTGCTCGTGATCACCCTGCCACCGTTCCGCCGCTGCTGCTGCCACGCACCTACATCACCTCGAAATCACGCTCTGCGCTAGGCCCGGCTCGGCTTGAGCCCCATCATCCGCCAACATGACCAAGCACAGCTTCATGGACACCATCCTCAACCGGCCCTCCCAGAGGTACACCGAGCCCGTCCCTACCAAACCCTCCCGCCATGCTGCCTACGCGCCCACAGACCTCCCCAATGCACCCAACAAGCCAGACTCCATCCTCGCCGGCAACATGTTCAGTGCCAACGGCGCAGGCTCCCTCAGTCGCAACGGCGGCGGCGGCGGCGTCTACAGCCAGGCACCCTCCGTCATGTCCGGCAGGAGCAACACAAGCAGATTCAGCATGTTCGGTCGCAAAAAGAACCGCGCCCCTTCCATCTCGGGCGCCAGCATCTACCACGACGGCGCCAGCAGCATCGCTCCTTCCGAAATCACAACCAGCCCCAGAAAGGGCAGATGGTGGGAGAGCGGCTCTCGCAACAAGTACTCCTCCAGACCACCCAGCGTCGCCGGCAGCGTCTTCTCCGAACCCGAAGCATCAGGGCCTCCCGGCTTCCCCTACATTTCCGACTCGCTCAAGGCTTCCGCCCCGCCTCGTGGCGCACGCAGCGACTACGGCGCTCCCACATCCAGCAGGATCCGCTACTCTTCCCACCCTTCCCAGCCGCCCATGCCCTCGCTTTCCAGCAAGGCATCCATGTCCGCCTTGAAACGACAGTCCGGCGTGGCTCCCCTCGGCCACCAGCAGCCCAATCTCATGCGCCAGTCTTCCGCCACCTCCCTCACCCGCTCCACTGCCTCCCAACTCGCTTCCACAACCGATCTCAACCGTCCAGTCAGCCCTGCCGCCTCCATGGGTCGCTCACAATCCACAAGACGCGCTCCTGCCAGGGGGTCCAATGACTGGAACTCCTTCGTCAAGTCCATGTCGGGCACCGACACCGCAAAGGTGTGGGAAAGCATGCCCACCCTCGCTCCCAAGCAGCCCCGCAACGCCGAGAAGCGCAGCAGCATGGTCGCCAGCCGCGTTAAGAAGGAACTTGAACAGGACGCACAGTTCCAGCAGGTACAGCGCGATCCCGGCGTCGTCCAGCAGGATCTCCTCGCGCGCGCCGCATCCCAGGTCATCGGTGACATGCCTCCTACGCCCGTCTCGCCCCTCTCGGGGCCACAGGTCGCTGCCGTTCATCTCCAGCCCGGCCAGATTGTCACCCCCATCTCGCCCGTCTACTCGCCCGTCGCTTCCACCTCGTCCGTCAACGTGGCGCAATATTCCGCCTCCATGGCGCTCCACGCCGCCGCCGACACGGAGCTGCCTCCACAAGCAATGATGCCTCCAACCCTTGTCGCCGCAGCGCCCGCTGCCTTGTCTCCGGCGCAGTCACCGCCGCCTCAGCCCCAGCCAGTTGCCTATGTCCCCGTTCCGGACGCACAGCTCCCGCACGCGCACGCCAACTTCGCCACTGCACCGCAGCAATACGCTCAGCCAGCCCCTGCGGTGGTGGCCCAAGCCCAAGCATTGCCTCCTCAAAGCCCCACGCACACTTACGCGCCCGTCGCCGTGGCCGCGCCT